TTCACACTAAGGCTTTGCTTCCTGTGATTGAAGAGCCCCAGGGAAATATGCAATGTGTTTGGCTTGTTCCCTAGCACCAATGGATCACCGCCTGCACACTTGAATCTCTGTCAGACTCTCCAGTGTCACATCTGCTCCCAGTATTTCTTCCATGAGGATGTGACTGTTGTAATCTCTTCAGCACACACAAAAAATAATAGTAATGAATTTTTGGTATCGATAATAATGAACTTTAAAAATCAATAACACAGCATCTTGAGAGGCAGTCTTATTAGATATTTGAGAGGTGATCAATAAACATGGTTAAAATAAAACTGGAATTAGTACAGGAAACATAATAAATTGGTACCAATTCTGCTGAAGTTGTCAGTACCCTCTAGTGGAAACACACTCTAATAGCATAGACTTTTTTCAAATATTTTTCATAGATGTATTATCAGTCATTGAAACTTGGCAGGTACAAAAACTAACATTTTAGATATTAATAAACAGTGTAGTATCTCATTTCATTATGTTAAATAAATGTAAGATCTTTAATATAATTTGTTCTCTAACTTGGAAAAGCAATCCAAAATAAATTGAGAGCAGAAGGGAAAGCTGTCAGAAAGAACTGGAACAACAGATCAGATAATCCCCCTACAATGTCTCAGCTTTGCCTTGTGGAAATGAAATCTACATGCGGGTTGCTCAATTTAAATATTATTAGTGAAAAGTCAGATGATCTCTGTTCTCACTAAATTTATTTATTTTTATTTGTTTTAATTAGTTACACGACAGTACAATGATCTTGACACACATTTGAATCAGATGAGATATAATTTCTCATTTTTCTGAGTGTACAGGTTGCAGAATCACATTGGTCATGCAGTCACGTATATACCCACAGCAATAATAATGTCTATTTTATTCTGCTGTCCTTCCATTCCCCCTTCCCCTCCCTTCCCCTCCCATCACTTCTCTCTACCCAATCTAACGTGACCCACTTCTCACTAAATTTATATCGTACAAATATTTAATGAATAATATTTTGAATGTATGTCAAACTTAACTGGTGCAGGGGATCAAATTTTTAACCTAAGGATGTCCACATGTTTTACTCTGCCTTGAAATCAGAAGGAGAATAATCCTTCTTGGTATTTCACATAGATTTGGTTGGATAAGTATTGATTTTCAGTAATAACAATTGTATCATAGATTTCAATATAACTGTGAAATTTTAAAATTAGTAAAATAATATTACTATGTCTATTAAAATCTGAAATTATTTATAAATTAAATCAGTGTCTTCCCTTCTCACTTTTTACTTTAGTTGATTTAATGGTACTGCAATTTCATCATTACAATAGCTCAATTCATTCAATAACTCATTTAAGATATTCTTAAATTTTACATAGTTGAAGGGCAAATGATGGCACGAAGATTATCCCTGGGATGCTTTTCTCATAAGTGGCAGAATTGCTGTGAGACTCCTGTGGTTCAGCTATTTGTCTTTATAAAAAGGACAGTTACTCTTTATATAGAGATTTTTTTGAAAGAAAAAATAGATCTGTCTGAATATATATGGTAGAAAAATATTAAACAGTACTTAAATTCCTCCTCTGTGCCTGCTAAGGATAAAATGGTCTATTTGTGGCTTGGCAATGCAGTTTGTGTTTCTTAGTAAAGGCTGGAGAGGAAGAATTGGAGAAGCCAAATTCCTCCACATGAGGAAAAAAAAAAGATGAAAAAGTACTCAGAAAGGATACTAAAGAGGGGACAAATCAGCACAGGTTTTCAGAAAAGTAAGGACAATTTGAAGGTCTGTGTGTTCTCAAACTTTAGCATGCATCAGGTTCATCTGGAAATCTAAGAGAATCATAACTGATGTTTAAATGAATGCTACAACACAGATTCTGTGGCTCTAACTCCAGAGTTTCTGTATCATTAGTTCTAAGGCACTGGCTTAATAATTTACAATTCTAACAGGTACCCAGATAATGCTAATTCTGCTGATGCGGGGACCACACTATAAGAGTCACTGTTACAAAGGGTTTTTACAAAGTTTTGCTTTGGGTTATGTGGTATAACTTTCTAAGTGACTAACCATCCCTGTTTCTCTGAGACTAAAGGATTTCCATGAGCTGAGACTTTCAGGGCTAAAACTGGAGTGTCTAGAACACCAAGAAGATTTGCCCCTTAAATCATATCTTTTTGTGTGTGTGCATGTGGTGCCGAGGATTGAACCAGGGCTTTGTGCATGTGAGGCAAGCACTCTACCAATTGAGCTATATCCTCAGCCCATTAAATCATATCTTAAAGATATTTTCAGTAAAGTACTTGCTAAGCCATTACTCTTGTTCAAATATTTTTGAACCAAAATTTCGTGTTACTTCCATTTTAATTACTTTAAGATTTTATGGTTTTTCTCCCACTGGTATGTATGTTATGATGTTAAGATTGAATGCAAGTCTAGAATTGCACTTTGAAGGTTATTTTTTAGGATTTTGAACCAGGAGACAGCAGTACCCTGCTGTATCTAGAACTAATTGTCACATAGAACTGAGTAAACCATCACTGTGACTATGAAGTGGCCAACATTTTGATTCCATAGCAAGAGGAAAAAGGTTTAATTGGAGGCAGGATGTTACTTGGATTAGCACTTTATTGTTTACAGCAGCACAATTCACAATAGCTAAACTGTGGAGCCAACCTAGATGCCCTTCAATGGATGAATGAATTAAAAAAATGTGGCATATATACACAATGGAATTTTACTCAGCAATAAAAGAGAATAAAATCATGGTATTTGCAGGTAGATAGATGGCGTTGGAGAAGATAATGCTAAGTGAAGTTAGCCAATCCCCAAAAAATCAAATGCCGAATGTTTCCTGTGATATAAGGAGGCTGATTCATTGTGGGGTAGGGAGGGGGAGCATGGGAGAAATAGATGAACCCTAGATAGTACAGAGGGGTGGGAGGGAAAAGAAGGAGGCAGGGGTTAGCAAGGATGGTGGAATGTGATAGTGGAATGTGATAGAAATTATTTTCCAAAGTACATGTATGAAGACATGAATTGGTGTCAACATACTTTATATACAATTGTAATGCATTCCGCTGTCATTTATTTTTTAAAAAATCAATAAAAGAAAGGGCTAGGGATGTGGCTCAGAGGTTAAGTGCCCTGGGTTCAATCCCCTTTACAAAGAAAGAAAAAAGTCCCCAGAAATAGCTATATTAGTGGGATACCTTGATTTGGGAGAAGCTTGGAAAGCATTTAAAGCTTATCAAATATGCAGTAATTCCAAAGTGTAAAAGTGATAACAGACTATAGAGTTATTCTTGGTGTGATGTTTTAAATTCTACCCCATGCTGACATTAGTTTTCTACATAATTTCAAATTTTTATCTTTAGCTGCTTCTATAAGATTAAGTTAAATAGATTTTAAATACAGATCTTTAGCAATTCAAACATATCATATTTCCTTGAAACTTCTCAATTAACTTAAAGGGGAATGTAGGGTTTGTAAACAAGTTAGATGTTCAACATAAGTTCTGGTAGTCATTATTATGAAGATAAATATATAACATAAGTGTCTAGTCTTATTCTACCCCCTCAAAAAATTTCAACTACTTCTAGAGAGGGTTAGTAAGCTGCAGAGCATGTACTATTAAGATTGAGCAGTTTACTGAGTCAGTGGCCAATTGCTTGTAGATAATAACTTCTCGAAGTCTTAAGATAATCTGGAGATGATCTCAAATAGATAAGTACAGTATGGATTCAATAATAAAATGAGAGATAACGGGGAAAACAGCTAAGCATCATCTCAAATTAGGATGAGGTGAAAAAATCTACCTAACATGATTTTATTCCAATGATTTCCTCTTATTATTGAGAAATAGTAGAGAATGCAGAGGGAGCCCATGAGTTTCATTTGAGAAACTTCCTTTAAGTTGAGAGAGACTCAGAGAAACAACTGAATTGAGAACCCTGAGGTTTAYAATCCTAACGAATCATGACTATTTTCTGCTGTATTTTTGCCAAAGGCAGCTTGACTGAGGTTAATGAAAAGATCATTTTTTTTTTCCTGCAAAACATAGCCAACAATGCTCACGGCAAACTTGCAGAACATAATTTATCTTTAGTGTTCTTTATAATTTCTCTTTCTCCTGCCCTCAATACCCAACCTCAGACTACAGGAATTGTGTAGTCTACATAACATACAAAAGTGTGTAACTTTATGTAACTAATATGTGAATAAAATTTTGAGACTACAAAATCAGTGGTGCATAGTACCACCTGTTAAATGCTCATGATTATGATTTAGTAGGAAAATCTAATACATAACAACCAAATTTACATGCATAGACAATCCTTCCTTATCTAAAACATCCCAAATTCTAAAATAATTAATTACTCCCAACTTTCACAGCATACTGAGATCTGGCCATCAGAATTCAGCCTTAATATAAATTTAAGTAAATCCTCGGAAAGTCTACCTTTTGAAAGTGTTCTCTTTTAACCTAAAATATCCTCTTGGCAGTCAGGGATTTCATGTCCTACCAGTTATAAAATACCAGTCTTGGGCTGGGGATGTGGCTCAAGCGGTAGCGCGCTGGCCTGGCATGCGTGTGGCCTGGGTTCGATCCTCAGCACCGCATACAAACAAAGATATTGTGTCCGCTGAAAAATAAATATWAAAAAAAAAAAAATTCTCTTTCTGTCTCTCTCACTCTCTCTTTAAAAAAAAACGAAAAACCAGTCTTTGAACCCACAATAAACGTTCCCCTTCCGGTCTCAAAAGTTGATGCAAGAGAGATGTCTTAGAATTGAAGGGTTTAGTAATAATGATCCCTGAAAAGAGAGAACAGAAATAACTGGAAAAGGAAATGCAAATTTTTAAGTTTGGAAATTGGAAACGTGGGGAAACGACGCCACCTTCTGGTGAGAAATGGGAACCAACAACAACAACAAAACCCCCCCAGCAGGTTAAGGATCTGATTTCTTTTCAAACCATCTAACAGCGCAACTCCAGTGCAGAGGATCTTTAGAACCGCCCTCCCCGGAGGCTCTCACCACTCCCAGCGCCTCAGGCAGTATGATTGACAGGGCAACATTCAGGTCCGTTACATAAATTCGTCACTCCGGAAACAGTGACCGGATCCTTCCGGCCCGCGCTCTCCCAGCATCCTTTGCCTTCCGGCTGTGCTCAGTCCTGTCCGGCCAGTCCCGCCTTGCGCGCCCGTTTCGAGCCGGAGTTTCAAGCTCGGCTTTCTAGGCTCTGTGTGGGTCCTCGGGCAGTGGCAATGGGGGCAGGAATGGCGCAGCTAGAGGGTTACTATTTCTCAGCTGCCTTGAGCTGTACCTTTTTAGTGTCATGCCTACTCTTCTCTGCCTTCAGCCGGGCGCTGCGAGAGCCCTACATGGACGAGATCTTCCACTTGCCGCAGGCGCAGCGCTACTGTGAGGGCCATTTCTCCCTCTCGCAGGTGGGGTCCGCAACCTGTCTCTACCCTAGGACAGGCCTGGGAGGGCCCGGCGTTCCCATCGCTGACTTCTCCTTCCCATCCTTTATCCTTGGCTCTCTCCCTTGCACCTTCCCAGCCTCCAAGCGTAAAAGGAGCTGGGTAATCTTTTGTTCCTGTGTCAGAGCTTCGTAATGTTTGTTAAAATGAAAGAATAAAAAGCTTATCTGTCTCTCAAGAAGGAATGGTTTGGGAGAGTAACTAATGGGGAGCCTAGCTAGTGCTTCTCCTCTTAGCAACTGACTATCCCAGTTTGCCTTCCCCAGTTCCAAGATTAGAGAGGCGTTGGGATGTGCCTTGAACCTGTCAGAAAACTTCACGTTAGCGTCAGTGAAACACCTCACTCAGTATTTCGGAGGAAGGATGGGGGATCTTCAGCCACAAAAATAAAGTGATAGTTTACATTAATTTTCTTTCTGGGCATTTTAGAGACCTTTTGTTAGCTGGATAAACTGCACCCAGTCAGGTTACATCATTTTAAAATGTATGTTTGACTACACAAATGTATAAATATAAATACCAAAGCATATTCCTCCTCTTCTGGTGATACATAATGCGTTCTGGTGAAAGTATCTTGGGAAAAAAATCTGATTTTCAATCTTGATGCTTTTATTAACCTTAGAAATTTTTCTGGATTTCAGGCTACTCATCTGCAAAATGACATCAATAATAGTATCTAATATAGGGTATGCGACAAGATTAAATAGGATTTAGCACAGTTTTTGGAACTGATACATGTTAGCTATCATAGAGCCTGTGGACCAATCTCTCTAAACCCTTCTTTCTCTCTAAACCCATCAGAGTTTGAACTAAATTTTACAAGCTGTGAAATAAGAGCCTTTGCAATTTAGGCACCAAAATACAGGTGTTATAGAGAGCAGTTTTTGGAAATTAGAAACAAATTTTAATTTATTACAAACAGGTACAGAGGCAAAAAAAATTATTTTCTCAAAGTAGACATCTAATCTACTAAGATTTTTTTAACCATGTCAAAATAACTTCTCAAATGTCATGATCATTAAAACTGGATCTTAACATGTGTGCTGTCCTTTCAGTATTAGTTCTTGATTTTGCTTCATTGTTGGCTTTTCATTTTTAAGTGGGATCCTATGATTACTACATTACCTGGCTTATACCTGGTGTCTGTTGGAGTGGTCAAACCTGCCAGTTGGATTTTTGGATGGTCTGAACATATTGTCTGCTCCATTGGAATGCTCAGATTTGTTAATCTTCTCTTCAGTGTTGGCAACTTCTATTTACTATATTTGCTTTTCCGAAAGCTACAACCCAGAAACAAGGTATGTTTTAACATAATTTATTACAAGTTTCTGTGCAGTCAGGTTCACATGAAATTTGGAGAAATATGTTCTTAAGACTGGAATTTATGTATGTTTGTGACAGTTAATGGAAATCTTGCACCCCCATTTTAGAAGATATTTAAGTAAGGCAGTCTTTCCTTGCAGAATTTATATCTTCTATAGGGAAAATAGACTTTGCTTTAGGAGTTATGAGGCAATTTAAGACTGCAAGTCCTGGAAGTTGGTTTCTTGGTTTTGAATTCTATCCCTACTACTACTCTTGCTTTACTTTGGGAAGATTACCTTTCATGACTCTGTGCCTTCAACTGTTAAATAAGTACTAATAAATCTACCTCATAGAAGTGTTATGAAGAGTAGAGGATTAATAAAGAGGTGGTTCTTCGGCTAGTGCCTGATATAAAGATTCAGTAATTGAAAGAGATAATTTCAGTAGTATCAGTTATGAGAGGGAGGTAGGCATGAGAATGAGGACACAGAGAAGGAGCCGAGGAACACTTATTACAGCCTTACTGGGAGGACTGTGTGGCCTTGGATATGGCTGCACAGAGAAGGTAGCACCAGAGCTAAATCATGATGAACAGATACTGCTGAAGAGGGGAATAATTCTGGCAGACGTAGCATAAGTAAAGGTATAAAGGCATTGAACAATGAAATGCAGAGAATTGCTGTTTGAAACTATAGAATTATCAACCATAAGGATATAAAGCTGGAGATGCAGGTAGGACTGAAGTCAAGAAAGTCCTTATATGCTATGGAGAGGATTTTGAACTTTATATAGGAGGTGATGAAGAGACCTTAATTTTATTTATTTATCTATTTTTCAAATGCTTTTATTAGTGCATTATAGTTATGAATAATGGTTGGGTTCATTTTGACATAATCAAAATATGCATGGAATTTAATTTGCTCCATTTTAATCCCCACTGCCTCTTCTTTCCCATCCTTCCCCTGCTCCTTTTCCTATGACTCTACTGGTCTTCCTTCTGTTTATTAATTTTTTTTCTTAATGGTGCTTTATAGATAAACATAAAGTTGGAATTCACTATAGTATATTTATATGTGTACATAGTATAATGTTGTCAGATGCATTTCTCATTTCCTCCTCTTTCCCATCCCTCATCCTCCTCTTCTACCTCATTCTACTCCACTGATCTCCCTCTAACCTCATGAGACACCTCCCTTTTCCATTAGTTTGTTCTAGTTTCTGCACATGAGAAGAAACATTTGATCCTTGATTTTCTGAATCTGGCTTATTTCACTTAACATGATATTCTCCAGTTCCATCCATTTACTTGCAGATACCACAATTTCATTCTTTATGGCTGAATAAAACTCCTCTGTGTATATGTACCACATGCTTTTTTTAATTCATCAACACCTGGGTTTGTTCCATAACTTGGTTGTTGTGAATTGCCCTGCTATAAACAATGATATGCCTGTATCACTATAGTATGCTGATTTTAGTACTTTTGTATAAATGCTGAGTGGTGGATTAGCTGGGTCTTAAGGTGGTTCTATTCCTATTCTTTTGAGGAATGAGAGACCTTAAATTTAATCAAAGGAATGGCATGGTCTGATTCGGTGAGTTAGATTAAGTGAAGGATACAATTTAAGGAGATAAAAATACCTAAATTTTGAAGTCATGTCAGAAGGGCCCAAAGATGTTTAATTTTAGTCTAGGCCTACTATTTTTACAAAAATCCTTCATGAAAAAGTAAGATCATTGGTCAAATAATATAGATGCTATATGCCCTTTTACATTTGTCTCATGTAAGGTTTTAAAAGGCTGTCCTTCAAGGGAATTGGTGATGATGGCAAGTTGAATGCTTATGGAAGGTACTAAGAATTAAGCTCAGGGGRTTGGAGCTACCTGCATGGTGTCCTCTTCATCTCTGTGCTCCACAGAGTTTAGTTTGGTGTCTTGTGCCAAAAACTCCTCAACTATTTGTTGAATCATTCAAGTCATTCAAATCATTTTAAGCCATAGGAGCTTTGGCACATAACATGTTTTAGTGGCTTCCAAGCTAATAACTATAACTAAAAAGTACCAGGTATTCTTATAAACTTATATAGTAACTTTGCAAAGCCCAAAATTAGATTAATATTAACTCCTAAATAAAATTAGAGTGGGGCTTTGTTATTGTTGTTTTTTTTTTAATAAATATCTTTGTTAATTCAGAAATAGCATAATTGCTTTGTTGTGAAAATAATTTTTCATGTTTTTCCCCCCAAAGGCTGCCTCAAGTATCCAGAGAATCTTATCAACGTTAACACTAGCAGTGTTTCCAATACTGTATTTTTTTAACTTCCTTTATTATACAGAAGCAGGATCCATGTTTTTTACTCTTTTTGCCTATTTGATGTGTCTTTATGGAAATCATAAAACTTCCGCCTTGCTTGGGTTTTGTGGCTTCATGTTTCGTCAAACAAATATCATCTGGGCTGTCTTCTGCGCAGGACATGTCATTGCACAGAAATTAACTGAAGCCTGGAAAACTGAGCTACAAAAGAAGAAGGAAGAGCGGCTTCCCCCTATCAAAGGCCCATTTTCAGAATTCAGGAAAATTCTTCAGTTTCTTTTGGTGTATTCCATGTCCTTTAAGAACTTGAGTATGCTTTTCCTTCTAACTTGGCCCTATATCCTTCTGGGGTTTGCATTTTGTGCTTTTGTGGTAGTTAATGGTGGAATTGTTATTGGTGATAGGAGTAGTCATGAAGCCTGTTTTCATTTTCCTCAACTGTTCTATTTTTTCTCTTTCACCCTTTTTTTTTCTTTTCCTCATCTACTATCTCCTACTAAAATTAAGGCTTTTCTTTACTTAGTTTGGAAACGTAGAATTCAGTTTTGTTTGATTACCTTAGCCTCCATATTTTTAGTTTGGAAATTCACTTATGTTCATAAATACTTGCTAGCAGACAATAGACATTATACTTTCTATGTGTGGAAAAGAGTTTTTCAAAGATATGAAATTATGAAATATTTGTTAGTTCCAGTCTATGTATTTGCTGGTTGGAGTATAGCTGACTCATTGAAATCAAAATCAGTTTTCTGGAATTTAATGTTTTTCATATGCTTGTTCACTTCTACAGTTCCTCAAAAACTGCTAGAATTTCGTTACTTTATCTTACCGTATGTTATTTATAGGCTTAACATACCTCTACCACCCACATCCAGACTTGTTTGTGAACTGGGTTGCTATGTAATTGTTAATTTCCTAACTTTTTATATTTTTCTGAGTAAGACTTTTCAGTGGCCAAATAGTCAGGACATTCAAAGGTTTATGTGGTAAAATCAGAGATATTTTGACCTTTAAAAGTAGATGTAATATTTAGACTGTCTCCACAATGAATAATTGATAGGTGGGAATTATAGAATTTGTTTTAGGCATAATGGTAATCCTCAGATCATATCAGTTTTTTTTTATTACGTACTTTAATTGTATGCAACAAATACAACGAAGTTAAGTATAAACAACTGAAAAGCTTAAGACCTGCTTCAGAAGCCAATAACAGAAAGATAAAATTGTTTACAATTATCTCTTTGATACTGTCAGCACTCAAAAGCTTGGAAACTTTTTGTACATACAAGCTTAAGAAAACTGGGTATGCTTCACAGCAGTGGAACTAATTTATAATTCTTTTCAGAAATTATTTGAAAAATATTTACAAATGATCAGTCAATATTCCTGATTGAAAAGTTGTTTACTATTTCAGTAATTATAATTTTAATCATAAATTAAAGTAGATATATGGATAGTAATTAAAAAGAGAAGGTCATGGTAATCTAGGAATCAGTGTATTATTTTTTATTTAAAATCTAGAAATGATGAAGCTTTTTCACTAATTCCTAATATGAAATGTATAAAGGCCAAAGATAAATTGAGTTGATTATAATACCTTTTAAAGAGACTTTTTTTCTGAAATACATTGTTGTATTAGTTTCCTAGGACTGCTGTAATAAATGACCACAAACTTAGTGGTTTACTTTTTTTTTTTCCACATTTAGAAAGACCTGTATCTGAAATCAAAATGTCAGGAGACGCTGAGGAAATATCCATTCCATGCCTCTCTCCTGACAAGAAGATAATATCTCACAAGATTTTTAGGAGATAATATATGTGCTCAGATCATATAAATAAAATTTTTCCTGAGAGGTTAAAAAAAAAGTGACTTCTGAGGTCATATAAATGTAAATCAAATTGGTATTTGATTTCCTTATCTCCCCCCCCCCAAAAAAAAATAGAAAGTTATGAAATCATTTGATGCAACTATTTTGTAAATTAGGGAACCACCTGCTGGGTAATATTTTGTGTGTGTGTGTGAATGTTTGCATTCTCTATTTACTATTTTTCATTAATTCCTTGGGTTGTCATTTTACTACAGGTAAGTATTTGGGCATGTWAATTTTGACATGGAAAGCTAAAACTGTGTATAGAAGTCATCTCTCAACCTAATTTTACATTTCTAAATTTTTTTAAAAAATAGCCGTAAATGTGGACAAATTACTTTCTCCTCAGTATTGAATAAAGCTTTTTCCTGTTTAAAATAATTAGAATATTTAGAAAACATCTCAACTTGCAAATATGAAAATGAGTGCAGGTAAAAATAACAACAAAAGTCTTGAGGAAAAAATACAGAGCATTATTTTATTGTACTTCTATACAGTACTTAGAAAGTAGAGTGACTCAATTATAACAGTGATTGTATGAAAATATATTTTACCCAGATTTTTTTTTGGTATGCTGAATATTGAGTTTAGGGATGATAGGCAAGCAGTATACCACTGAGCTGTGTCTCTAGCCCTTTTAATTTTAAGAGTCCTGCTAATTTTGCACAGGCTAGCCTTGAACTTGTAGTCCTCCTCTCTCAGCCTTTCAAGTAACTGGAATTACAGGTGTATGCACCACACCCAGCCAGAATATTTTCAGTCAGATAAGAAAGCATAATCAAAGAAATTATGCTTTCATGAATTTATTATAATAGAGAACTAAATCCAGGAAACCAAACTTGGAAAAAAAAAAAAAGAGTGTAATTTAGGAAATACAGCTTTGTTGTCTGATAATGCAAGGCTTGTGTTTAGGAACATTTCTGAGAGGAAAAACTTTCCACTCAGATCTAGTCTGGAGACCATTTCACCCCAATAATTGAAGAAGACTGTTTGGAGAGTTCACCATTCCAATTAATTTTTAAGTGTTGAGTCACTTCTGTGTTAAATTTGGAGAAATTATACATTAAGAAGGAAACACGTTAATCTTCCTCGTTTTCTATAACATGAAATACAGTACTTGGTATTTTAGAAAAGAATACTGTGAATTAAAAGGAGCTGCTTATTTTTTTCTAATTATTTTAAAACAGGATGTCAGTATTTTTTTAGTTAAAGACAAATGTTTTGGTTTAAATTTTCTTGGACCCTTAGGAGATGGTTATTTACTGTTGAATTTTCCACAGAGTGAAATAGATTAAATAAATATGTGAAAGATACACAAGCTCAATTTAACAGATCATTTTGCCTTTAGTTGTTCAATACTACACCAAATTCATCCCTGTGAAATCTTTCCACTTGAAAAGATTGAGAAGTCCAGTCATTCCTAAAACGATCCTTGCTTTTACAAACATTCTAAATTATGTTTGTGTTTTGAACTTTTTAAAGGATTATCAAATATTACTTTTGTAATGGATTTAAAAAATTAGAATTTTTTTGAATTTCGTAATTAAAAAGTGATTATGAAAAAAACATACTTCCTTACTAGATAACCTTACAATCATTCTTACTAGTCTGTGAGTAGGATTATTTTAAAGAGTATCATGAAAAGTTCTAGTCCATAGTTTTCAACTTCAGAATAATTTTGATCAAGTTCTACCTTATGTGAAATTCTAGTATGGAATATTATCTTCAGATAGTATTAGTTAGGTTTCTGTGTACCGTGTATTTACTACCACATGTGTTTTCTCTTAATGGATACCCCCAAATTTTTTATAATTGTATCTGTGTGTTTAAATTATTTGGAAATACAGTGTTCCTTACTTTAAAATAGCATATCTTCCTAGCAAGAGAAATTATTTTTGCTCTCTGGGCCATGTTTCCTTAGATTCATTTCTGGAATATGCTTAGTCTGTCATAAAATTCCACAATGTAAATAACTTAATGTAATTTATTTCTAATAATTAAATAATATATTATTTCCAGTTTGAACTAAATTGCTACGCAGTTTGACATTATTTTCTTCATAATTAAAGAGAAAAGGGATTCAATTTTTTTATTTATACTCTTAAATAGTGGACAGTTATAACCAGTTTTCAATAAATTATGTATTCAGATAAAAAAATTCATGGTGGTTCATGCTCATAATCCAATAACTGGAGAGACTGAGACAGGAGTATCTCAAGTTCAAAGCCAGCCTCAGCCACTTAGTGAGACCATCTCAAAATAAAAATTGGCTGGGGCTGTTGCTCAGTGGTAAAGTGCGTCTGGGTTTAATCCCCAGTACCAAAAACAAAGAAAAAGAAAGAAATTACTATATATTAGGTAGAGAGCATTTATTATCTTGAAACAATTAGAATCACATTAAATAGTAAAACCAGACTGTAATGTAAAGATGAAAAAAACTTTTTAAATGGAAATTTAAATATAAATTAGGAGCCATGAACTTATAGGAAGAACATTTAACATAGGAGTTTAGGGAATTAGTATTTGCTTATGACTCTATAATCAATAAGGCAAGATGTTTGGTCCTCATTTCAAATGAGGATAATTGTCCTAACTAAGTTGTGTCTGGTATGGGCTTAATTTCAAAAAGGATTTATCCCCTGCCATTCATAAAAATCATAAACATGTCATATGATAAATATTAGCTAATGTACACTGAAATTTTAGTATAGAATGAAGCAAATAACACAGAAAAACTATAATGTATAATCACAATTAATTTGAGGAAATAAATTGCATTTCATGACAAGAGCATTCCAGACCCATTATCTGCCTAATTTTTTGATCTAGTGCTAAGTTTTGTTTGCTGTGTTGTTTAGTGCTTAAACATGTATCTACTTGTAAATATGTTATATGTTGTCTTTATATCAGGATATAATATCAAGGTTATTGCTGTTTAAAACACAAGCAGTTCAATCATTAAACTATTATAATTTTGGTGGTTTATAAGACTTTAAAGGAAAAAGAAATTTCAACCAGTTACAAATATTTTACGTTTTTCAGGTTCTACTTTACTATTCTAGGAACAACTTATCTTTCATTTAGAGTGCTTTATATATTTAAATGTTGGTGACACATTTCCAATATAGTAAAACAAGTTGAAAAATTATAATAAAGTGAATAGATTGTGAATAAATTTTTCAACACATTTATAAATTCAACACAAAATTCAAGATTTGATTATTATTTCTAGGGTAAGAAATTTTGTCACAGTGAAGTAATCCAATAATGTCTTTCTTATTATGTTTTTTAAAAGATGAGCTTTTGATGAATTTAATAATTTCATTCAGAGTTTCATTTCATTCATAGCACAATTCATCACCAGCAAGCCAAAAGAAATGTCTTTCTCCAACAAGAACAATATTAAAAACATTATACTGTTTCTGCATACTGGAATGTGATCAGTTCATTGAGCAATGTATGTGTGCATATGGCACATAAAAGATGAGGAAAAAGGGAAAGAAATTGCCATCTATTGAGTACCTGTAATATTTCAGGTGTCATATTGGCTGATTTACCAATATTGTCCCATTTGATCCTATTCATATTTCTATGCAGTAGATACTGAATTTTGCTGGATTGTTGAAGAAGCTAAATGTCAAGTATATCTGGTGACTTGCCACAAGACCACTCTGTCTCTAAATGAACATAGATTGATCTGATTCACAAACTCACGTTTTGACTGCTATTTTGTGAATGTTTTTCATTAAGTAGGCTGAGTGCTTGCCTTGCATGTGTATGTTGCCGTGTTCGATTCTCAGCACCACACATAAACAAATGAATAAAATAAAAGTCCATCAACAACCAAATATATACATATATAAAAGAGAAGTAGGATATGGAGAGTGGAGATAGTCTTTACTGTGCACACGCCAGGCCATTCATGGCACATTATTTTTTTGTGTTGGATTGTAATCATTCTTAAAAATGTTAGAAACTGTTTAAAGAAGTATGAACAAATGATGAGGATTAATAGTTTTGTTGCAAGATAAATGAAAGAATGGGATGATTAACTTGGAATAACAGATTCTGTAACTTAAGCTCTTACAATATTTGAAGAATAATTGAGTGAATTGAAATTATTCTGTTATGTAAAATGTAAATGTAGGGCCAACAGTTACATTTCAGTTAATGAAAAACAAATTTTCTAATTGCTTAGTCTCTGCAAAAGACTGGACCCCCCCCCCMAAAAAAAATATATTTGCCATTGACTGGTGGTAAAATTTCTATTTATCAGATTTAGGAAAATCAGATAGCATGTAGGTAGAGTAAAATATATATTTAAAGATGTCTTACAACCTTGTACTTTTAAATTCATAAGTCTATTTCAGCT